CCTTCATCGGTTTTGATTCTGTTGCCACAGCAGGTAGTGCGGCCCCTCGCTGCCTTTGCTCTGTTTCTGGCCGGGCTGGGCTCCATCTCTAGCCTCCTGCCTCAGCTTTCTACGTGCAGGGATGGCCAGAGCATGCTGGGCTCTTCTGTCCCTTGGGGGCGCGGCATGGCGGGGCGCCCCAGCAAGGTGCTGGTGGGCGGGGCCCGCGGGGTGATGTTCCTCACCTCAGCCCCCTCCTGCAGGGGAGAGGCCCGCAGCCCGCAGCGCTCCGCTCCTCTGGCCATCGTGCTGTCACGGCTCATCTGCTTCCTGATGTACTTCGGTGTCGCAGCAGCCCTCACGCTCATGGTGCCCTACTACCAGGTCCAGCCCGGGGCCCGCTGCCCGGGGCCCTCGTGCACGTGGGATGGGGACCTGCCCGCTACGTTGTGGCGCTAGGCACCCTGTGTGCTCTCTCCTCCAGGTTGGCTGCTGGGGATTCCCCACGCTCCTCTGAGCTCCTGGCTGAGGGACAGGAGGGGGCACCCAGCTGGCCTCACACGGGGCCTCACACACACCCTGTTCTCTCAGCCTGCTGGGTGCAATGTTCCCTATGCCTCGGGTCATCTATGCCATGGCGGAGGACGGGCTCCTCTTCCGAAGCCTGGCCCGAGTCCATGCCGGCAGGCGCACCCCTATCCTGGCCACTGTGGTGTCTGGGGTCATCACAGGTAAGGATGGCTCAGCGCCTGCTCCCTGCACTGCCTGGAGAGTGTTGTCTGGAGCTGATTCCTCCGGGTCCCCTCTGCTGTCCCTCCAGCCTGCATGGCTTTCCTGTTTGAGCTCAGTGATCTTGTGGACCTCTCGTCCATCGGGACCCTGCTGTCCTACTCTCTGGTGGCCTTTTCCGTCCTGGTCCTCAGGTGAGAGGCCCCTCCTGGGTGCTGATGTCACCACGGCTGTCACCCCTCCCCCCACCCCCCTCCCTGTAGGTACCAGCCAGATCGGAATGCAGGCTCTGGAGAAAAGCAGAAGCCAGGGCAGGAAGCCCAGGAGCCCGAGCCCCCTAGGGAGGCTGTGTCCCTGGAGCTTGAGCCTGAGGCAGGGAGCTCCAGGCCTTGCGGGGGCCTCTGCGTGCTGGGGGCCACCAGCCCTACCTCAGGGTCTGGCCGGCTGGTATACGGGGGCGCTGCCCTGCTTGGTGAGCCTGGGCTTGGGGGCGGCAGAGGGGGC